GAGCGGGGCTGTAGAGGGAGGCCCCAAGTGCCCGTCCCCAGCGTGTCCCTGCTGCGCATGGGGACATCCCGGGGCTGCATCCAGGCCCGGCTCGTCTCGGAGCCACCGGTGCCTTTGCCAGCACCGTTATCTTGACGGCATCGCTGGAGCAGCCAGGCCAGGCCGCCCGGAGCGGCGTGTTCTTTCCCTCTGGCTCCTGTTACTGCCGGGGAAACGTCTCTTCTGGGAAAACAAGAGCACAAGGCAGCCCGGCGCTTCCTCGCAGCGCTCCAGGTCACGCCGGCTCCTCCGGGGAGCCGCGTCAGCACCGGGGGCTGCACGGATGATGCCAGGAGCACTTTGGTACAGGGCTGGTGGGAAGGTTAAGAAAAAACATCCCGGTGCTGCCAGGGCCTGGGGAAACAGGGAGGACACGTGAGTGCCAGCGGCTTGAGTGCTTCCTTGGGCTGATTTGTTGGCAACCGGCTCATTTAATCACCAAATTGCAGGAGAAACAGGTCACCTTGACCCGAAACAGCCCATCTGGCAGCATCTCTGCATCCTCGCTCTCCTCCGGCAGGCACCCAGGGAGGCTCTCAGCACCTTCCAGCCCCTGGTTTTGTCTCCCCACTCCACAGCTCTCTTCAGCCTCAGCCGTCAACGCTGCTTGAAGAGCAGCTCCCTCCGTCCACTCCATCCGAACAAGACCTGGGACTGGGGGGAAACTCTTAGTGCAGCATTAGCTCATGGAAAGCCCCGATTCCACCATGTGTGGAATACAGAGACCTAAAAAGGCAGTTTTTTTAAAACGCCAGTGAATTCGTGAAGCCAGGTAAGGTATGGAGCAAGGGAGACGGGGACCAAGGGTGACATCGTAAGCAACAGTGTGCAAAGGAATGCTTTTAAGTGCAGCAATTCCCCCCGGTTGTTTATTTGGTTATTTTAGACATGTTTTCCGGGGGGTGCAGCTGCTGCTCTGGGATCACACGAGGAGCGTCTGGTCGGTGGTTCTGGAGTTTCTCCTGCGTAATCCTGGTGCCACAGACCGGACCAAAGCCGGGGGCACCGCTGGCTGCATGGGACAGGGATGAGCTGTGCCCTGAGCTGCAGCCTCGTGCCTGTGTCCGGGCATCCATCGGGAAAAAGCTCCCAACCTGGCACGTTCAGCTGCAAAGGTGGAAAAAGGTAGAGAGGCCAAAGCTTAAAACTGTTTTTTTTGTGATCAGAAGCCAGAATCTTAAAAAAAAAGAACAATTTTTCAGTCCCCCCCTCCCCAATTTGCAGTGGGTGGAGGGCTCCCAACTCTGGTGTCCGCTCCAGGATTCCCTGCAGCTTCCAACAAAACCGTTGGCTTCCGAGACAGATGTGTGTCAGAATCCAATATGAAATAACAGAGCGGGATGGAAGGGGGCAGAAATTATCCCTGTGCCTTAGCAGGCCTGTTCCTGCAGCAGGATCAGGGAGCGGGGTCCGGATCGGGTTGGGAATGTTCCCCACGGGAGGTTTTGGGATGCAGGTTTAGGGCTGCTGCCTGCGCTTGGCACCTGGCGCTGACGGATCCGTCAACATCGACGCTCCATTTTCGGGATTAACCAGGTGGCGTATGGAATAATTCACTGAGAGTCATTAACCTAATGACAGCGGCTTTCTATAAACTGCTTAGCCCGGCTGTGGGGAAAATGGGCTCCACGGCTCCGGGGGGAGCCGCGTGCGCTGGAAGAAAAACCAGGAGCATCTCCCCATGCTGCTCACAGCCTTGGGGTGGCTCTAAGGGTGGAGAAGTGAAATGAACAGAAAACATGAAGGTTCCAACTGGGAATGTCCTGGAGGGCCGAGCGGGCAGGAGCTCTGCAAGGGACGAGCTCTGAGGTCAAGGTGATGCTCAAAGAGGGTTTGATAACGTCCACGCACAGGCGTTTGCTGAAAGCGGAGCTGAAAGGGAGCTTCGGGGCTGCCAATATTGGAGAAGACTCTCTGCCAAAAAAAACAGGGAAGTTTCCTTTTCGCAGAGCTAAAATATTTTCGCAAAAATGTTTCCTCTTGGCCCGAGAGCAAGATTTCCTTGCAAATTAGTTGGAGCAGCCACAAAAAGACTGGGTTTCCCTTAAAATCAGCGCTGGGACATGAGACAGCCAAACTGACGCTCCGCTGCAGCGGAGGCTGCAGAAAGCCCCGCAATTTCCCAGGAATTAAAGCAAGTCCGTGGCATAAATCAGCACGAGGCAGGAGGCGGCCTGGGGAGAAGCATTCCCATTTAGGCACGGAAATTGTGCCAGGCAAGCGGGTCTGGACACGGAGCTGCGCGCGCCGAGGGGAGGGAAGAGCCGCTGCCTTTTACGTTTCCGTCTTTCCACAATTTTTACGTCTGAACTGGAAAGAACTTCTGAGCTCAAAGGCTCTGATAATCAAGCCCAAAAATGCATCAGGCTCCACACTTGGTGCCACCCCCACATGCACACTCAGTCTCCAGCCCTATTATTTTAAATTGATGCAATTATTCATCTCGCCGAGTAATATATTTTTGTTCTCTGGTGCCCAGCAGACCTTAAAGCAGAACAAATGCTTCAATAAAACGGAGCCGGAGCCTCCTGCGAGCCGGAGCGCTGCAGCACGGAGAACTGTGGGACCGGAGCAGCTCTGGGAATCTTCCATAAATTACTGCCTGGTATTTCTTTCTCGCACCACATCTATGTGATTAGTAGATGTTTTCTGTGCGCTGATTAACTTTGTTTATTTCTTAATTGGGTTGAGCGTCGTCTGTCTCATGCTCCTGAAATAACTGGGTGATTAATGTGCCCGAATTTACATTTTCATTAAGTCCTGAACCGGCTCTGTCCCAATTAGCAGCGAAGTAACGTGCAGATTTGGGGCATTAGGTTTTAATTTGAGCCCATTAAGTAATAACCAATATATTGATTGGCAATAATAGAGCACGGAGGGTAAATATACGCCAGATCCCATTGCAGCTCCTGGCCATGCTTGGCATTCCCAGTGCCATGGCCAATGCATGGGATTGGGACACAGGATGCTGCTGCCCTGCTCCTCTCCATCAGCTGATGTTAATTAAGAGGCTTTAATTGATTCTTCCAACATGGGACTTCCTGCAGAGGAGGTTCTGCTTGGAGGTGCAGATGCAGCTCCGCGCTGTCCAGAGCAGCTGGGGCTCCCCAGGGAATGCCGGGACCTGTCTCCACGCCCCGGATTTGGGGCTCTTAATTAGCAATTAGCAAAGGTGAGGAAATTAACACTCACCCTTCAGCAGCCATGAGCTGCCTGCAGCAGCCAGGAGCCTTCTCCAAGGGTGACTCCCTGCTGCATCCTGGGCTCCAGGCTTTGGGCACGGCCAGCCTAGGAAAACAGGGATGGGAACAGGGATGGCAATGGGAACAGGGATGGGGATAGGAATAGGGATGGGGATGCAGCCAGGAGCCTCCTCCTGGACCTCTGCTGAGGTCCCAGTGCTTGCAGCTCCCCCTGCTATGGGACCAAATCCTCCTCTCCTGCTCCCATCCACATGGATCGGCCGGGAGGACGGATGGATGTTGCTGGCCCGGGGATGCCGGGCTCTCAAGGACCTTCCTCTCCTCGTATACACCTATATATGTGTATGTGCATATAGGTCTCGCCTCCCTCCACAATCACCGTTTCCCCATCAATTTTCCAGGTTTGCCCAGGAAATCAGAGCTGCCAAGTGAAGCCCTTCCTTCTCCCACTCCTCTTTTTCCTAAAGCCAGAGGCTGATTTCTGCTGCTGGGGAAAAGCGAGCGGAGGCGGCAGCAGGAAGGAACCCCCGGAGCGGCTGAACGTCCCTTCTCTCCAATGCAGGAACAAGCGCCCCTGGACTCGTGGGCTTCATCCTCCCTCCCAGGAGCAGGAATTCCTGGCAGGAGGTGCCTATCCCTGCGCCCCAGTGTGTCCGGAGCCGCGTGGATCCGGCCCTGCTGCGCACAAGTGAGTTGTTGTGCACGGGGCTTATCCCGGGAGCAAACACAGCGGCAGAGAAACGGAACCCTCCCGGATTCTGTAAAGAGCTTACCCAAATCTTGTTGCGTGGTTTTGTTTTGTTTTCTCTCTCCCTATAAAGAGGAATGGCTAAAAGAGGAAATATCCCCCAGATCTGCATTCTCTGCACTTCTTTTCCATTTAATCTCTTAATCCTCTTGCTCCCAGCTTTAATCCACACGTTGCCTCTTTCTTATTTTTTTTTAATTCATTTTTTTATTCCCCCTACTCTAAGTAATCCCAAGGTGGTGGCCCGGGGAAGGCCCCATGTCTGGCGGATTCTGCACGGTGTCCGGAGCTCGTCCCTCCCGTGGGAGCCGCGTGGTATCCCCAGCTCCACAATTAAGAGAAATTAGGGCAAGAGGCACAAGTGCATGGGGGGAAGTCACTGCAAGAAGCAGTGGGTGGCAGAGGACAGGGCAATGCACAGGGCAATGCCTGGGTGATGCTTGGGGAGATGCTTGGGGTGCACAGGGAGATGCTCGGGGTGATGCTCGGCGCAATGCATGGGATGAGGCTTGGGGCAATGTTTGGGGCATGCAGGGTGTTGCACAGTGAGGTGCTCAGGGCGCACAGGAATATGTTTGGAATGATGCAAAGGATGATGCTCAGGGAGATGCTCGAGGTGCATGGGAAGATCTTTGGAGCGATGAACAGAGTGATGCACAGGAGGATGCTCAGGGAGATGCTCGGGGTGCATGGGAAGGTCTTTGGGGCAGTGCATGGGTTGCTGCTTGGGGAGATGCTCGGGTGCATGTGAAGATCCTCGGGGTGACGCTCGGGGTGACGCAGTTGGCACCCGCTCCCCGGCTCCATCCGCAGGCAACGCAGCGCCCGCCCCAAGAGCAATCCCGGGGCCCAGGCCGGATCCTTCCGCGCGTCCCTGCCAAGGCTGCAGCGCTGCAAAATGGAAATTAAAAAGAAGACCAAGAGAAGCACCTGCGGTGCCAGCAGAAGCTCGTTAGCCTGCGGCACTGGTTATTTCTGGGCTCCCTCTTTCTGGCCCACATAAATCCCCCGGGCCAGAGTGTACACGAGCGCTGAGCAGGGCGTTTGATGAGCACTGGCTTTTAATCAGTGCTGGGGGCGTTTCCTTGGCCTGGCATTTTGGGGCTGCAGAGGGGAGAGAGGAGCTGGGGGCAGGACACCCTTCCCACCGCACACAGAGGCCCCCGGGGAAAAAGCTGCTCCTCAGAAGCTGGCATTTAGAATCACAAAAGGGCTGAAATGTGGCTTCAAAAACCAACTTATTTTTATACAACCCAGCTCATTAGCGGTGCGCTGCAAAAAAGCAGCAAGCGCCCATTTAAATTGTAGATTCTGACCTTTCTGCCTAAGATCTGCTCAGACATCCTGTTTACCGCGTTTTTGTGCTGCCACTTCATAATCCTCAGGATGAGATTTTATGCAGCCTTTTTCTTGCTATTCTAATGTGCCGCATCCTCCTTCCCCCCGTGCCATGACAGGAGCCCTCCGGGGATCGCTGGGAAAGGGGGAGGTTTGGAAAAGCCCTGGATGTGAGGGCTGCCCTGGCCCTGCATGTCTCTGCATCCTCCTGCATCCCACATCCTCCACACGGCAACGGATTTGATGCTGCTGGGACCTGGGGACATTTAAGAGCACGGGTATAAGTCCCTGTTCCATGGGGTCC